CCAGGTATGTGCCCTGATGGGGAAATGAACTGTGACCTTCTGGTTCATAGGTTGATGTTAAATCACTGAGCAATACTGGCTGAGCTCAAATTGTTTTAACTTCTGTCATGTTGTTTCTTTGATCCTTCAGTTATTTGGAAATTTCCATAATTTATTTTTTGGGGGGTTTTGTATTTAATTCTGTTGTGATCAGACAACAAACTTTGTATAATTTTAATTACAATTAATTTATTGAGATATGTTTTATATCTTTTATATAATCTATCTGGAAGAATGTTCTACTGTTACTTGAAAAAAATGTACCTTCGGCAATCACTGGGGAAGCATTCTGTATTTTTCAATTTAAGTTCAATTAACTGATAGTGTTCAAGTATTGTATATCTTTGATGATATTATGTGTAGTTGTTTATCAGTTTATGAGAGTTGAGTATTAAAATTTCTAAACAATATTGTTGAATTGGCTATTTTTTAAATCCTATTTGGGGCTTATTGATATTCGTGATTGTTAAGATTTTTTTTTCATCAAATATGACACTATTTAGGTCATTACTTCTTCAAATAATTTTTTTTCCTGTCAGATCTATTTCTGATATTTCTATTGTATTCCTATTTGTATTGTCAGGCTTGCTGTTATCTCAAGGACTCCATGACTGTTCATTTTTCATCAATTTTTTCTCTGTACTTCCACTGTTAATTTTGGTTGATCTTTCTACAGGTTTATTAATTTTTTTATGCAATCTAAAAACTGCTTTTGAACTCTCTACTCAGTAGTTCACTTGAGTTACTTTTCAGCTCTAGAATTTCCAGTCCTATATATGTATATGTATATTATGTAAGTGGAAACCCATAAGTCTTAAGTTGTTGTTAGAACTATTGTCCTAATCTAAAATTTTTTTTCACTGAAAATCTCTATTTGTTTATTCATTTTTATTATTTTTAAGCATGGCTTTCTAGGTTTCTGCCCCTGTATCTGTATAACTTGTGGCAGACCAATTATTAGACACAGTTTGTGCTCAAATACCTCAAGCCAGTGAGGCCTCTATCCTGTGCAGATGGACCCGGTGTACACTGGGGAGGGCATTCAAAGATCAGGCCATTTTTGCATCTACTCCAGCATTTGTTTTACACTGGGACTTTGTGTGTGTGTTTTCTAAGGGTTTGTACACAGCCTTATCGTTAACCAGGACTATGTGAATTGCTTGGTCTCTATTTGCTCTCTGCCGCCAATGTGTGAGCACTCAGCCAGAAATACATTTGCCCCAACCATGCTACAGCCTTGGGCCACCTCCCCTTACTCTTAGTGAAAGTCATGACGTATACCGAAAACATCTCTGTGTATGACTGTAGCCTACTGCCCAAAATTAGGTAAGCTCCCTTTAACAATGGCAGTGCTGACCCCTATATCCTACCCTGCTTTGGTAGATCCTCCACAGCAAAGAAGCAACAGAGATAAGATGTATTCCTTAAGCAAGAGCATTGCAGACTCCCATTGTTGTAATCCAAAGGTTAGCAGTTTTTTTTAGCATAAACGCTTGTCAGATTGACATAGGCTGCCGTTCTTCAGTTTCCAGAATGGTCATAATGATTGTTTTGTTCAATTTGTTTAGATTTATAGTTGCATTTTGGAGAAAATATTTGCTGATCTCTTTATTCAGCCATAACCTGAAATGTGACCACTCAGGGTAATTGTCTATTGATTGCTAAACCACATTAGAATAATTAAAAAGAGATAAATATAGTCTCATTTTACTTGTAAAAATAATTTCAAATTTCTAAATAAAATATTAACTTTCCAAATCCAATATTATATTTAACATACATTATGTTAATTAAGTATGATTTACCTTAAGAAAAGAATAATAGTTTATCATTAGCAAATTTATCAAGAATTTTAATTCATTAGACTGAAAGAAAAAGTCAGAAAATTATTTCAATAGTTTGAAGAGACTCATTTGATAATGACCAAAACATATTCATAAGATTAAGAAAAGAAGGAGACTTCCTAAACTTGCCACAGTTTATGGGAAAAGTAAATATTATACTTAATGGAGAAACTTTAGATGTTTTCCCTTAAAATAGGGGAGAGAGGGCAGTTTGATGTTTATTATAATCACTACTGTTTAATAACTGAACCCTTAGATTATGGCCAATAATATAAGGAAAGAAAAAGAAATAAAAAAGTGTTAAGATTAAAATGTCTATTATCTGCTAATACAGTGGTCAGCAAACTCATTAGTCAACAGAGCCACAGTTTGCTGACCACTGTGCTAGTATATGCAGATAATGTAAGCAACTACGAAGAAAAAATAGAATTAATAAATAAGTTATAAGAATTAACAGAAGGTATTATAAAGTTGTTCAATATAAGATCAATCTATAGAAATCAATAGAATTTGTCTATACCGACATTAACTAGATAGAAATACCATAATAATAAAATAGCAATTAAAGTAGCAAAACACTTAAAAATTTCCTAGATATTAGCAAAAAATATAAACTTTCCTGCAGAGAATACTTTTAAATCTCATAAAATACACAAAAGTTAGAAATTAAGGATAAAGTATTATGTACTCTTGATTTGAGCAAGTTAATATTCTAAAAAGTGTATTTTACTCAAACTAACTTATATGTATCTTAATCACATTGGTTCCTATGCTCAAGTCGGGGGCTTTCATAAATTTAGTGATATTTTTATTTATAATAATTATATAAACAAACAACCTATGCATAGGTAAATCACATTTGAAAAAAGTGAACTAAGACAGAAAGCTTGCCTTATTAGTTATTAAAGCAATAAACTAATCTGAACAGAATTGAGAACTCAGAAACACAAATATACACATATGAGCTTAGTAGCCTATAAACTTGTCAACCTAAATCAATGAGAAACACTGAATCAATCAATCAGTCAATTAATTAAAAACAAGTCTAGCATGACTGAATATGTTAGAGGTTACAAATTATGAAGAATTTGACTAGGATGATAGAAATGAAAAGGGTGAAATGGAATCAAATTGGGATAAAGTATTTTAGAGAATGCCAAGAAGACTTATTTATGAATTGGATATTAGGGTTGGGAGGTGAAAAAGAATTTCTTCTTCATCCTAGTGAAGAAGAAATTGACAGTGCAAGAGAGAGAGGATGTCTGTAGGAGGAAAATACTTAAACAGGTAGAGTACCTTATTCTGAGAGTGAGTACCAATGCTAATTTTTGAGGGGAGAAGTCAAATCAGAAAAAGTGGGCAGATTTTTCTCTTTTACAGTGGAGGGAGAAATAACAAAAACAAACACAGTGTAATTGTATGAATTCATTCAAACACTTAAAATAAAATCAACACAGATGGCCAAACATTAATTGTCTTGATTTATAAGTAAGTAGTTTCCTAGAGAGCCAAACATGTAACTTTAAGAACTTTACCTAGAAGTAAAAATTTTAACCCGGGCATAAAATGTTAACATTCTTAAAATTCTGTTATTTTATTTCTCAAAAATTCTATTTGATGAAAATTCAATAAATGTGCGCCTATATATGAAAACATCTGACTTGTAATATTTTTTAAATAGTAGGTTTGTTAAGATTGGGATGTGTGTCATTTTTGGTCATTGCTTGTATTTTGCATTTTTAAACACTATTGATGTACCAGTTTTTCATAAAGGAAAAAGAAGAGGAGAAGGGAGAGAATAAATCTTACAGAATGAGCCACTCTTTAAAAGTGACAAAGGTAGATTTGATTGTTACTAGTAAACTGTTCTAACCCCAAATGATTTTTAGAGTATAGAAGCAGATCCTTTTTGCTCAGAAAAAGGATTTCAAATTGACTGAGTGGTGATTGTGTTATCTTTTTAAAAGTGAGACTGGCTAAGACCAGCAAAGAATCTGACTAGCCTTTTTGTGGAGGCTGAGGTTCTCAGACATTCCTAAGTAACACTGACAAGGAAGATGGTAGCTTAGTTAGAATATGGATGTTAAAGTAATTTGGGTGTGTCTGCCATGACAAATCATTTTTATTACCTGTTACACACAAAAGGAAGAAGAGGAAGAAGATATTGGAGAAGAAACTAAATAGACCTGGAGTGGTGTGAGTAGTTGTCAGGATACCTGGCAATAAGCCTAGCTTGTCAATAATTCATTGTGAGGCATTTGTAGGCTAGAAATGTTCTTCGATCTGGGCCTAGAATTTTTATTCTTTTGCATAAATAAAATATTTTGTATAAATTAAAAAGTATAAAGTGAAATGGCTGTGTGTTAGGGTGCATTTCTGCAGCTTCTTTCATTTTATATCTTTTTTTATTTTTTAAAAAGTTTTGTTGTGTGTTTTTTTTTTTTTTTTTTTTTTTTTTTTTTTACCACTGAACATTTTTCTCAAACAAATCTGGAAAAAAATCTACATCCAATCTGGAAATTAGATAAAGACAAACAACTCTAGTTAAATTAGAACTCTTCAGGTATTGGAAAAGATAGATAATAGGAAGTAAAAGAAGTAAAGGAAAAGGAAATAAAATGAATCAAATGCCTGCTAGCACATGTTAAACACTGTAGCTGGCTTTTTAAACTTGATTTCTCATTTAGTTCCACATTACAGTTCAAAGATGAAATAAATGACACTGAGAAATACATAAATGGTGCAAGTGACAGCAATAATAAATAAAAGCTCTGAGATTTGAATTCAGTTGTACAGTCCTACGAAGGTTCTTGTTGGAGTTAATACAGAACAGGAGGAACCAGAAAGGACTAAGGAAGGCAGGCGTCACACTGACTTACTCCTCCTTTCAGCCTCTGTCAGTGCCTAAAATGTTTGCAGAGAGTTGGGTCATGGCTTGGGCCTATGGACTAGCTGTACTGGACATTTAGCCCACCCAGGGACTAAGCCATGTTCCCTCCTTTCTCAGTTGGCTTCACAACAGGTATGACTTAGTAAGTAGGAAATAAAAAATTCTACATAGAGTAAAAGTTGATCTTGAAAGCAAATACGGCAAATTGACTCCAATTAGTCTCTTACCTTTGTGGGGTCAGTGGCCCCAGTGGCTCTTGCTAAATGCGTGGCCCTTTTCTGGGTTTTGGCTTCTTTTTCTCTGGAAAAGAGCAAGAAATGGCATAGCTTAGACATATCTCCCAACTTTTTAAGGATAACAGCATATATGGTGAACTTAATTCTTACTGTTCTCCTCAGCCTAGTCTGGCAGATCCAGAAATGAGCAGAGGGACCATAAATCTCTCCTCTGTACTGAAAAATATCTCAAACATGGTTCTATTGGCAAGAATCTATATATTTAACTTCATAGAAGATTAGTCCCCTTAAATACTTCTAACAGCCAGGTGGTTACCAAAGTTAAAGCCATCTGTACCATTATAGGAATGCTCTATTTGAAAGACCATATTATTGACTATTCCATTGTGTAATTGTATCACGGATTTTTTTTATCCACTCATCTACAGATGGGCACTTGGGATGCTTCCAAATGTTGGCTATTGTTAATATCACTGCAATGAACATAAGGGTGCAACAGCATGAATGGACCTGGAGAATATAATATTAAGTGAAATAAACTGGTCAAAGAAAGACAAATAGCAGATGATTTCACTTATATGTGGAATCTAATGAACAAAACCAATCTAACAAATAGAAACAGACTCATAGGTGTTAGAGAGAAAGATTAGGGGAGAAGCAGGAAAAAAGGTAAATGGCTTGAGAAAAAAAATCCTTATAGACAGACAACAGTGTGGTATTACCAGAGGAAAATGGAGGTGGGGGGAGGTACAACAGTTATGGTAAAGGGGGGATAAATGGTGATGGAAGGAGATCTGACTTAGGGTAGTGAATATACAATACAATATACACAGGATATATTGTAAAATTGTATACATTAGACCAATATAATTTTATTAACCAATATTACCCCAATAAATTCAATTTTTTGAAAAAGAAAATCAAAAGAAAAAGCAAGAATTTATTCTCAGCGTGTAAAAATCTGCCTTCCTGTTTTGGACCCAGTTACAACCCGTGAGGACCCAAAGGACAACTTTAGAAATTTGAAGACAGTGTTTATGCCTCATACAGTCTCCTTTCCAGGTTAAAATATAATTTATTCCAACTCATTTATATAGGTAATAAATAGAATAATGTAGTGAGTGACTTCTTAGTGCTAAACTGCCTTATGTGTCTTAAGGTATCTTATATTTGTTTTAAATTAGTTTTCAGTAAACTTATTTCATAGTATTGGTCTACTATGAAAACATCCAATGAATTAAGAAGGAAACTTTATGGTAAATAATTGACCTGCTGATTTACATTCAGCTTCCAAGAGAATAAGAAAGGATTCTTCAACCTTCCCTGGGCCTCACCCCACTCTACATCCTTGCCCTGCCTTCCCTCATCTTCCCATAGTCTCTTCTTTAGAAGTAGCACATATGATCAGAACTTCACTATGTCAATATTATTGGCTATGTCAAATTAAATGCCTTGACACATACCAGGCTGGCATTTAAAAAGCTAATTATCTTAAACAGGTAAGCTTAGTATTGGCGTGGTACCAGTGTTGAAGTTTGGATGTTGGTCAGAAATTGAGAAGACCTCCCTGTTCAAAAACAAATGAGGACACTTTGATTTGAGGTTTTGCAATTGATAGCTCAAGCCATTTTCTGTTTTGAGGTGTCATTGGAGAGAAGGAAGTCAAGTTAAGAAGCATTGCATAGATGTTGATTAACTTCCTGAATACTAATTCTTTCTGAATTGCAGGTAATTACAAGCTATAATTAACTTTTTAATCCATCTCATTTTAGCATAATCCCGAATGTCTGAAGACACTGGCAGCTCACAGAGTCAGGGTGTATCCTGCTTAAATTCTTCTCCTGGTTGGCTGCCACAGAAAAGTTTGACATCATTCTCTGAAGTACAACCTCAGACCCTAAGGTACAACAGGATCCGGTCTGAACAGGCCCACGGAATCTGACTTCCTTTCTTAAATTAATTTTTCAGGGCCAGGAAACCCAAATTGGAACTACATCTTCAAAAGACTATTAAATTTTACATAAGGTATTCATGCCGGGCCCTCTGGGTGTTTTGGAATACCATATGCTGGATGATTCAACCTTTCCAGGTGGGTGGCATTTACCCAATTTTATCTGATGAGAGATGCCAGAGTGATCTACAAACTATTTTTATTTAACCATTTAGATTTAGAAAGGCATATTTGCCGAGAAGTAAAAAGAATACATTTACTAGTTCAGAGATCAGCTGGTAACTCAAACACCTGGAAGAGAAACTTTACTCACAGTATCATTTTGCATGTGGCGCATTTGTTGAGGAATATTATTCCATCAGGGCTTTGAAGAAGTTTTTTATCTTGGGAACAGAAAACCTTCCCATTTTTCATCAATACCCGAAATTCACTGCAGGAACTCTAAGGGGAAGATGAAAAGAAGTTGTGTTTACTGAAACCTTATCAAAGCAAGATCTTCCAAGAAAAACTTTTTTGAACAATATTATTTAATAACCACTACCCCCTTTATATAGAAGACATTCATTCAGATGTTATAAATAATACAAACAAAAACAGTGACTCTGTATATTGTGTATTGTCTGTTGGAGATTGCAAATTCACTTAATAAGCATTCAAAGAACAAGGAACTAGGAATCAAAAAACTATATATTTCATGATTCCATTTACACATCCAATAGCCTTCACAAATTAACTTCTCAAAGGTTTACTTAACCCTATCAATAAAAAGCAGGAATTATGAATATATACATTTCACAGGTCTTCTGAGGATGAAACATAACATGTATGTAAAAAGCCCTCAAAGAATGTCTGATGCTTATAGATATTTAATAAGTCGAATCTCTCTCCTCTTCCTCCTCCTTTATTATTAGTGTTTTGTTTTTGTTGCTGTTGTCATTATTATTGGAATATGCTGATGGCACATATTATACATCTAGCACACAGTGGGTCATCATGTGATGTAAGAAGGACTTTGAAAAGTTGCTGGAGGACCGGGACACAGGGTGTGACCTGGACACTGTAAAGAGCCTCTGCCGTGTCAGCAAAGGATGTACCCAAGACACCAGCTCCCAGAAGTGTTAACAGTTGTTCAAATAAAAAGTGGAAAACAAGTTAAAAGTTGAATGAAAGAACTGCTTGGTCAGATATGTTTGGAAAACATATTTATAGACTAGGTCCTCTTCCGAAATGAAATAAACCTCACATCCAACTAACTGACTTACTGGTAAGAGCTAACAAAGCAGCAGTGTCTAGGCCCTTCGTTATCACTTCCTTGGGGAGGCCTAGTTGTTCTAGATTTATTAGTTAGTTAGTTAGTTAGTTAGTTTATATTTTTTGTATATTCTCTGGAACTACTATGTTCCTATTCTGTGTGATATCCTTCAACATGGAGTGCTATGCTTGATGTTGGCTTTCTTTTTGTTAAATGCAGATGGCAGCACTGTACCAATGTTAGGAAGGAGAGGGGAAATCATTTTGAACAAAATTTTGCCATGTATTGCAAATATGCCATTAATGTTAAGCTCCTAAAATGATTGAGTGACATATAGGAGTTCTCCAATAAAGTATATTGAGTTAAGAAATGCATTAAAAGAAAGAACCCTCTTTTTAAAGATCTGTCCACTGTCCTTATTTCCACCTATTCTATTATTTAAAATGCTTTATATTTCCTATTAGTTTTGCAAGTCCATTGGCTATTTAGACAAGTCTTTGAAATCTAAGTTTTTCCTTTGCAAAAGGAATAAAATAGTGCTTTGAGATGCTTGCATTAGAAAAAAATTAAATCATGTCTTTGCTCCAACTCCAACAAATACAACCTCTTCCAAAGAATTAATTATAGAATTCTTTTCAGCTTCCTATATCTTCACAATAACTATTCATTAATAAGCAAACACTTATGAAATTACTTTGCCAGGTACCATAGACATAACAGCATATAGAGAAATCCTTGTTTAAATGTTGGTTACCACCTAGTGGGTAATGTTGTATCTCATCTAGCCTTTTAAACATACAGGCAGTTGGTAGCACTTGAAAAATTATTAATGGTGGAAAAAAGGGACCTAAATAATGTAAGAGACCAGCCCTGTGAAATTTTGCTAAGGAAAACCTACTGAAATATCTCTAAGTTTATGGTCACCACCCAGTGATCTTATCTGAGGAGCACAGTAATAATTTCTGACAACGAACCAACAAGTGGGCCTCTGAGATCTGTGTCTGGTCTTTAATTTTACAGTATCTTATGCCAGCACTGCAAGTTACTGCTTAGCATGCCAGATATAAATGATTCTATAAAATCTAATTAGAAACTTTGTCAAGAATCAGAGAAGACCCTGGTGTCTTTGTAATAGAAATACAACTATTCTAGTCTTGGCCGGGTAACTTAGTTGGTTAAAACATGGCTCCAATACATCAAGGTTTTGAGTTTAAGCCCCCACCTGGGCACATGTGAAAAGCCACCAACAAATGCATAAATAAGTAGAACAGCAAATCAATGCTCCTCTCTCTCTTCTGAAAAGATCAATCAATCATAATAATAAAAGACATACATCCTTTGTGAGGTAGATCTTAAAGTATTTAAAACAATATTCATAGCACTTGAATAAAGCTTTAAGTAGTTTTTAGCAGTCAATTGAATAAGAACATTGTCAATTGGGATATTCCTGAATCAGACCTCTCCAATGTCAAAATTAGATGAGCCCTATTCTTTTTGTTTGTTTGTTTGTTTGTTTAATGAACAACCCAGGCCTAGAGAATAGATTAAGAAACTTGTGCACAATGTTTAACTAGTTAAGATGAGACCCAACACTATCCTTTTGAATTATAAAACAGGAAAGGGCTGTAAAAATCGAAAGCAGTGGTTAGATTTTTCTCTGGGGAAAATATAAGATATTCCCAATCACCATAATAAAGAGGGTTTTGAAATAGGAGCCGATCTAGGCCAAAAAGGCATGGTGAAGTGGAGAGGTGAAATCCCAGCAGCTGTTTACTTGCAGTCTCACTGGTAGACTTTGGCTCACGGTCTTTGGTATTGTTACTCTTGTTTGTGTTTTCCCCACTGCCCAGGAACACTGGAGCCCTCTAGGGCCAAGCTCTTTCTGTTTCCATCAGTGGCTGTTATATAGCCCATTGTCTTCCATTGTCACTCCCCAGACATCATCACAACATGTGCCAGGGAGTTGGCATCATTCCTTGTCTGTGTTAGAGCACTAACAAGGTTGCTTTGGCTTTATAATGATCCTCTGTGAATGCAAATAGAAGCACATGGTAGAGATCCTTGCTGTTATTACAGGACTTTTCCATGCTGCTCTGGCTCATGTTTGTAACTTTCAACAAGTTACTGACTGAGCTTGAAAAATAAAATCCCCAGCACCACAAGAGAGACTAAACCAATAGTTTTCATTTTGGGCAAAATATCCAAATTCTGTGATCAGAAACATTTCCAGAGAAAAAGTTACTTCTTGGTATTCTTCTTGCTTATTCCAACATGAGAGGTGGCTAAATGTAGGGGTTTGTTTTTTTTTTTTTGGTGTTTTAGTGAAATAGAGTTTAAAACCATAAAAAGTATCAATGCAGAATTTGAAACATCCACTGGAAATCACCGCAATTGTCATAAACTCTAAAAACAAATTATGGCTTCCTAAAAAATGAAGTTTGCTCAATACCCTTCTTTTTACTGCAACATCCCAGTGAGAATGCTGTTTATTTTCCCCAAATACAGCCTTTTTCTTTTCTACTCTACCATAATACCACTCTACTACACCATAGACATTTCTCCACTTCTCCTTAATCAGCAAACAGATGAGATAATAGAGACTATGATGAAACTCTTTAGAACAGTCCAGTAAGAAGTTTCTTTTAAAAAATTTGTTATAATAAAATATAGCAAGAGAATATTTTACCATGGTTCTAATAGTTTCATTGTAGAAAGGCGTTATTTTACTGTTTTATTATCTTAATGTATGGCTTTTGGGAGATGTAGCAAATATTTGCTATATACATAGCACTGATTCAAGTGCTGAATTAATGGCATAGTTGTAACTGGCCCTTTTAAATTTTTTTCCAGATATGTAAAATGATTAACTGCTATAGAAAACAACTACTTTAGCTCTCAAACAATAAGCCTCTAAGGAAGAGGTAGTAAAGCACTCTCCTAAGTCAGGGCCTCTGCCATTATGGATGCTTCTGCCTGGTCTGCTTTAATTTAAAAAATTATCTTCACGACCCTTCCCCATCACCTTCAGATCCCTGTTCTATTGTTAGCTTCAGGTATAAGACGAACTAATACCACCTCCATCCCCAGAAATTCCTATCTTCCATCCTCCTGTATTTTCCTCCTAAGACTAATCATTATTAATGTACTGTATGTTTTTACTAATTGACTGATTGGTTCGTCTGTTTCCTCCACTGAGATGTGAGCTCCATGACAGAACAGTGCTTGTCTTTTTCCTTTATTTTTTTAATATCCCCAGCATCTCAAACAAGGTCTGATTCATAATACATGCTCAATAAATATTTATTGAATGGAGTATATACACTGGCATTATACAAGATATAGCCAATCCCCTTTTAACATAATAATCACAAGAAAACTAATTTCTGCTCCCTGTGTGTGTCATAACTGTCAGCTGTTAAATTGAACAATACTAATTCGCTGATGTGTTTGTGGAATTTTAAAGCACTCCGATAGCATGGTAGATCCCCTCTTGCTCACACCCATTATTACTAATACAGTCATGTGTGTGTGTCCGACATTCAAGCCTTGATTCATTTAGACCTGTTTCTGTGTTTTTAGCAAAAGCTATCAGCACCTATCAGTACACGTGTCTGCATTATTAATATCAAGGTGTTGGCCATGAACATTTTTCTTTAGAGATCTTGGAATGAATTCAATGAACAGAAAAAGCAGGACTAACCTGATCTTCATTCATACTGGCAGCATCTGGAACACAAAAAAACAACAAAACAAAAACAAAGTCAAAGGGATCTAAAATATTTAATAAGTAAAAGAAACAATTTGCTCAGTGCAGTGACTTGCCCACTTTACTGGAAATATGTTAGAAAACCACAAATTATTTTTTAACACATTGAAATATAATGAAGGGATGGCCCCAGGAGATCAGTGTATACACTCAGAAAGGCCCAATTACTTTGGAAAATAAAATGTATTTGTTTTCTGACCCCCTCAAAATATCCAATTTATAAAACCCCTTCATTAGCAGAGTGTTTCAGACCTCTTTTAAAAATTATAACCTAAATATCAATTATATCATATCAATTACAATTTGAAAGTATAATGTAGCAGAAAGTTTAGATCATATGTACACATAACATTAAATTTTCTGAATTCTGGTAACATTGCCTCCTTAAGACAGATACAAAAATTAGAGATAGGATAAACATTAAGTTTAATTAAAATCACAGGCTATATTATACTCTGTCAAAATGAGACACCTTTTTGCACCAACACATTTATCCTAGAGAAGTGGGCATCATTTGTGCATAATGTTTAAAACTCCATGTAGGGTTTCCTTTAAAACATGTAAATGCTTCACAGCAAGATAGCTCTAAGCAAAATCCATGTTCCCTCCAAGTTCAAGTAGCAAATGCAGAAACCTACCTCTGAGCTCCCACAAAAGTCCCTTCCCTTTTATAAGAAGTGCCTTTAATACATTTAACACAAATAAAATATGCTAGAGGGCACTACTGCTTTAAAGTAAGAATAGATAATTGAATTTAAATTGTTAATATTTTTATAAACATTATATATATATCATACATTGAAGTTTCAAATATCTAGTATATAATTCCTATAAGTATGAATTGATATGCTTACTAAGAGGGTCAGGTAAAGAAGAATCCACTAGCTTTTTAGTACTAATGTAGAAATGCTGGAATGATTTCTCATGGATAAAATTCAGATTATCTCAAGCTCCTTGCCATTTCTAAAGATAACAACATCGTTATAAAACCACATTCATAATTCCTTAAAACTCTGTGTCTGGCAAGATATTTTAGGATTACATACATTTATGTAAACTTGAATACTAAGTACAGGCAGGGGGAGGGAGACAAGTCTCTGTCCAGGCTTTGTGGTTTGTGGCAAGAAGCTTAGATTGCATGCAAATTACTTACCTTGTATGAGGCAGAGAGCCAGGCTCAGAAGTACCAGCACTGTGGTTATCTTCATGATGAAGATGATGTAAACTGGCTAAAAGTCTGCTCCACGCATTGCTCACCAGCTCGTTGCTCTCGGACTGAACCCATGGCAATGCAGCTTACTTTATATATGCCTGATGACACACACCCACAACAGCCAACATTACAAAACCAGTTGTTCAAGGTTGTGCTAGACTTAAGATACATCAATTTAGCTTCTTCCATCCTTTAGGATCCTGTCAAGGTGGCAGATTTGAACAGATAACATCTGCTTCCAAAGTAGTTCTAATATGTTTTCATGATACCTCCTCAAAGGGCAATAATAGATTGAGTCCAAGGACGTTACTCCAAGTTTAATATTCCATGGTCTTCTATAGAAACTGAATTCTTCAGCTACACAGACACACACATCACTGCGTAGAGAAACATGTTTCTAGCCTGGCTCCCTTCATAAGGGGGAGGGAGGAGAAAAGAAGACAGATTAGTTGTACTACCATTTGGGTAAACACTGAGAGATTTCACCACATCTGGAGAAAGCTGCTTTATAGGAAGAAAAGCAAGTATTCTTGTTGCTTCCATCCACAGATGTTCTAAGTGTCTCCATTCCGTGTCACATATTTGTATATAAGTTAGACTTAAATGATCCTAAAAGATAACCTAGAAAAATTCTAGCATTGAATACATGGGGAAACAGAAACTCAGAGGAGGAAAAATGACTTTTCCAAGGACATGCAGTTTACCATATTTTTCGGCATATAAGACAACCCCCTAATTTTACAGTTAAAACATAGGTTTAGGCCTATATTCGCTGTATAAGACTACCCCCCACTTCCGAGGCAACACCAGTTCTTTTTTTAATAGACCGCCTCTCTGACTCTGGCCAATCTGAGCAGGCTTTTTACTAGAACACAGTGTAGTTTTGGGTACAGAACATGTACACTGAGCAGGCTTTTTACTAGAACACAGTGTAGCTTCGGGTACAGAACATGTTCACTGTGTTCTAGTAAAAAGTCTGCTCAGATTGGCCAGAGTCAGAGAGGCGGTCTATTAAAAAAAGAACTGGTGTTGCCTCGGAAGTGGAGGGTAGTCTTATACAGCGAATATAGGCCTAAACCTATGTTTTAACTGTAAAATTAGATGGTCGTCTTATACGCCGGAAAATACGGTAGGTGGAAGAGGTTAGAGGTGCGACTTGAAAGACCACAAACACCCTGGGCCTGGTAGCTCTGTTGGTTGGTCCATCATACCTAGGTTGGGAGTCAATCCCTGCTCAGGGAGCCCATGGGAGGCAACGGATTGATGTTTCTCTTCCTCTCTCCTCTTTTCTCTCCACCTCCCTCCCCTTCTATCTAAAATAAATAAGAACATATCCTCAGGTGAGGATTAAAAATATAAAAGAAAGTAAAAGAAAGAACACAAGTTCAGTATTTTCTCAACTCCATACGCTGCTTCACCATTACAGACAGTAAAGGCAGAAACTTTGTAGGATCAAACTTGGCACATAACTACTTCTTAAAATCCTCAACCTGAAGGATTATTTTATGTTTTAACACTTAATTTCAGAGTTAACCACACATCATGATCAGGAACATTAGAGACTTCAGGTTTAACTTTTCAGACAGCCCACTGTTCCCCAAGTTCCAAAGGTTGGGTTCCAGTGCTCCACAGGGTCCCACACCTATTGAAGGGAAGTTTTGAACTTTGTGGAATCAAACCCTCTTAAAGCCAAAACCGGTTTGGCTCAGTGGTAGAGCGTATGTCTGCGGACTGAAAGGTCCCAGGTTCGATTCCAGTCAGGGGCATGTACGTTGGTTGCAGGCACACCCCCGGTAGGGGGTGTGCAAGAGGCAGCTTGTTGATGTTCTTCTCTCATTGACGTTTCTAGCTCTCTATCTCTCTCCCTTCCTCTCTGTAAAAAATCAACAAAATATATTAAAAACAAAAAAATAAAAACAAAAAACCCTCTTAAAGATTGTTTCAGAAAAGCTGATCTAAAGCTAGCTGGCTTTGGAATATTCTGAATAATATCAAAGCCAGAGTATTTCTTTTTTCCATGATATAATTCATTTCCTATGAAAATATAATCATTAGTTTCAAGGTCAACATCATTAGCTTTGCTTATTTGCAATTGTTTAATAAAATTAGTGGCCCAGAAAGCAAGTGCAAATTGCGTTACTGTTATAGGGAAGAAAATTGATGTGTTTTTCAATAGGTGTGCAGCCAAGAATTTTTAAAACATGCAATACCTGACTATTATAGTCAGGTGCACCAAACTCTTTTCCCTTAGATTATAAAATAATAAAATGACAACAGCCAACCTAATGATAGTTGTTCAGTGAGAATGAATCAAAGTTATACTTATTTTTTAGTCAGATAGGCAAATATATAATATTTTTTGGTATGACGCAAATTTTCAGTAATTAGTTTATGTGTGCCATGAGATGAAAAAGATTAAAACTGGCTGGCCTAATAGAAAGCTAATGTAACAGGGAGTCAGGAAATTTGTTTCTATTTTTGTCTTTGCAACAACACAAAATAATAGAAATGAACCTTACTTTGGCATATGATAGATCTGGGTACAACTCTTGACTAGGTATGTTGCCTTGGGCAAGTCGTTTATTTTTTTCTCAGCCTCAATTTTTTAATATGTAAAATTGGTATAATAAAACTACATTTTAAAGCTGTTGTAAGAGAGGTAATTTGTGTGTATGTGTGTGTTTGTAATGCTTAGTATTAGTACAGTATATGTGTTAAGCTATGTAGTTAGAGATAGTTGGTCTTATATTTTATTTCATTATAATGATATGTTTGTAGTAGGTAATTTCTGAGATTCTAAAAAAAGTAAATATCTCTTGAATAGGGACTTTTAACAATAGATTAAAGTTTACTCATCATAGAATAACATCTCCATTCTGATATGAATTTAAAAGTGAAGATATAAGTTCTTTTTCATTTTGCTATGTTCTAAACCACACTACCAAAACTAAATCAAAACATTAGTCATTTAAAACTTGCAAAAGTCATTTCTAGGTTTTAAGCATCATTGGTTCCCTATCACCAGTTATAAAAGTCTCTTCTAAATATTGACATACTAATGCTAACTTTTTATACTTCATTTGCTATGTCTGACTATATGAAATGTGTCCCAACCACTCACACTTATTACCAGTGGTAAGAAAGTATAATGCCTTACAAAATAATTGGTGACTGTGTAGTATTCTCTGATAGACCCCAAATCAAACCCAAATGGATATTCCCAGGAGTGGAAGTCGTACTAGGGTGGAACAAAGGAACCAAAATATGATTGCATCTCTAAAGAATCTCTGCTATGAGGAAAGGCTGAAGGAGTTGGTTTCCTTCTTACGGGGAAAGAGTTTTTCTCACTGACACCCAGAAGCTTCTGAAATGATGAATAAGAGGCTTGGAACTGATAACCTCTTCCAGCAGGAGAAGGTAGTCGAGAGAAAATGTAGCGAGCACTCCCAACACAGTATGTACATGTCAGCTGGCTCATGGCATCAGGGCTTTTTCTCCATTTCATTTCAGGAATGTTGTAAATCCAGATGTGATTCATCATGTACTCTTTTAGTTACTCCTTATTTCGGGAAAGCCAAGACATTTAAATTCAAATGAATGGGACTGAGGCTTTAGAGTAGGGGTGTTGAACTCAATCAGAGAAGGGGCCAAAATCTAAAATCCAGCCTAAATCGCGGGCCGAATGGTTTACTGAACAGTCATAAACTGTCATTGTGATGGAAACGCAGCGGAGTGCAGTGATGACAGCGAGTTGCGGGCCACATTGCAAGGCCTGGCAGGACGGATTTGGCCCGCGGGCCTTGTGTTTGACACATGTGCTTTAGAGAATGAGGGCTTGGGTTATCAGAATACTTTTATATTAGATTATCAGAGTACTTTTTCTTAAATTCTAAATTTCCTATTTTCTTTTCAGCTCTTTCATTCATCAAACATGTAAAGTCCCATTTTACCTCATTAAAAAGAAATAGAGCTGTTATAAAAAATATAAATTTTATGATTCAATGTATGTATTGAGTGGCCTAGAATATGTATTCACATCAAGGATATTGACTCAGATGGAAGAGGTGAGAAAAGTCTGAAGTAAACAAGATTTTGCAGACCAATAATCTTACTGAAGACAAATGTTATTTTTAAAATGTCAGATCCATTGACAACTTCTCTTTTCCTATGTAGAGATATCCTTGCTAATCATTATAGTTTAATATATAATTATAGTCCCTTACCATCAAGCCATCTTCCATACCTTTCCAAACAATCTGCTATTCATTAGTTCTCTTGATTTGGTTTCAAAATGCTGTGTGGTAGCAGAATAGGTGTTATTATCCATTCCCTGCTGGCCCAAAATGGTTCCATTAACAAAACCCCAGAGTAGGAACTAGGTTGTATGGTAATCCCAGCTTGTTACTTTCTCACCTTTTACACTTTATGTGGTTATCTCAAAGTCTTTCTGGCAATTCAAAGAGAACCCAGATGTGATGGAGCTTTAAACTATATACAGCATTCTATTGCTAACATAGCTCTTTCCTAAAATACTCTTCTCTCTCTCTCTCTCTCTCTCTCTCTCTCTCTCTCTCTCTCTCTCTCTTACACACACACACACACACACACACACACGCACGTTCGTAATGACTTAGGGGAGAAAGGTATGTTATGACCATGGCTGAAAACTATGTCTCCCAACAGACCTTAGAAGATGAAGCAATTTCTTTTATAGTTTTTTAATTTTAATTGTCTTTCCTATCAATCTTATATTTTCCCCAATAACATGTCTCTACTATATTTTCCTTTATTAAAGACACTAATTGGAAAACAGCCTTTACACATTGTATTACCTTGAAATATTCTGAGAATTCCCTTCTGTTTGTCTAGAAAGGCTAAGAAACTATAGAGATAAGTATCTCATTTTATCTAAGAACAGAAGGGATGGGCACTGTTTGATTACTGAGTATACAGACCTGGCTATTTATAGATAGAATTGTTGCTTTTGTTAGACTAAGATTAAGAAAACACAAAAGTTTTAATATCTAATTTTTAACTATGTTAAGTTTTAAGTATTGGACTAGAGGCCCAGGTGCACAAAAAATCGTGCACTGGAG